TATCTCCTATATAGATAAATATATTTTATCTTACAAAATTTAATCTGCATGACATTTAGATTGAATGTAAGCACTTTTAATTTAATATAAATCGAATACGTTTGAGGTTATGAGTTCTCTCAAACTTATTTGAGCTCACCAAATCTAAAAAATATCGCGTTAGTATGTAAATCTTCTTAAATAGAAAATCAAAAAATTAATAAAAGGTGTGAATGATGATTTCCGAAATATAAGCATTAATGTTGTAAAGTTGTACATTTATAACAAAAACGCAACTTTAATTAGAGTAATATGGATAAAATTAAACGATATAAAAGAAAACTATTATATGATCAATTGTATATGGTATTCAAATAGACATAATACAATTTTAATAAAGTAATTGACATCGGTAAATGATTCATCATTAAAACATCATTCCAATTGTTATATTTTAGTTAGATTTAAATTATTAACATATGTATTTGTGAGTTCATGTTAAAAAATTGATGTAAATATGTAGAATTTTTCAACATGACATACAAAATTAATTGGAATGTTTTGATTAGTTAATTTAATTGATGTGTCCTTTAAAATTCTCATTGAGTGACATATGATTTTTTTCATTTAGTGTCTCCTCAATTAATATATAAAGTATTATAATTAATAAAATGATCTATGTTTCTTATATATTATTTTAGATCATAACTTGTTTTTGATGTTCCATGCATACCATAAGTATTACCTACCGAAATTCTATAACTTATATTATAACACAAGAATTCTTGTAATTGCACCAAAAATTTAAAATCTTCAAAACTGGAAGCAGAGGAATAAAGTTTAATATCTTGGACATAACTCCTTTCTTGGACCAGAACATCTACGCCACAAGCTCCTTCCCTTCTTCGCACCATCGCAACAATCTTCTATGTTTGGAAGCAGAGGAATAACGTCTTACACAACTCTCAAGCCATCTCTCCGTTCAACATCTTCACGTGCATTAATCGAAAAATCCGGAACATAATCAATGCAAGAAGACATCGGCAACACTTTTTATCAAAAAAAAAAAGACATCGGCAACACTTCTGTACAATGATGGAGTTTTGGTTACGATAAATCCATGTGCTATGTAGATTTATTGTTCTTCATTAGTATG